CATTTGGCAATCTCCTCCCTCCAAGAGTGGGGTGGAAATGGAGATTTTGCAATATCCTTCCTCCAAGAGTGGGGTGGAAATGGAGATTTTGCAATATCCTTTCCCTGCCATACCCACCAAGCCATGCCCACAGAACTGGTAGTAAAAAAATTGAATTTCATCATTGCTATAAAGGGCAAAAAAGACTCCAAATCAACAAATTCTAAAAACTCAGACATTTTTTATAGTTATTCTGTTTCCAAATATTTCTGGATTCACCAAAGTGCACCATAACATTATTAGATGATGCTGAAATTTCATATGTTTTGAGGGGGGAAATTACACAGAACAAACACTGAACATAAGTACCTCATGAGCCTGGTTAAGATGTTTTGCATGAACATACACATGTTCATCCCATCCTAGAAAAACAGAGAAACAATGTATCAAGAAATATTCTAATAATAAAAATGAAAGAAGCTGCTTGGTCTATTTAGTGTTCCAAGTATCTTGATTCCCAGTGAACATGCAAAGGATACATTTCTCAAACAATCTGCTCAATTTATTCATCCTTTACAGAATAATTTTTCAAGGAGACTGGGTTCTTGTGGAAAGAGAGGTATGGAGGAAGACTTCCCTTTTCTTCTCCTATTCCTATTGCAAACAATTTGAGGAAAATTGGTTATCAGAGATTCTCTATTTTTGCGTAATTAGAAGTATGTACAAAAAGTGGCACAATATCATGAAGATTTGCTAAGGCCCTGCTGTTTTTCTTTGAACTTTATTTAATAATAATCCTTTTGGGGGGGAAGGTGTTGGCTTTTCCCTGATTTGGTTGTTATTTTGTAATTCTACAATATTATGATCAGGATTTATTAACTTTTGCAAACTAATGTTTGATAAATTGCAGTGAAATCAAGATACTAATCTATACATTACGTAGTCTAAATATAAAAAAATACAGTTTTCAAAGAATTTCAAAACATTTTCACATTGCTATTTTTCTCTCTCTCTCTCTTTAAAAGAAATCCTGCACAAATAGAGACTTGATTAGAGCGAAGTCCTACCCTAGTCTGGCATTCTGTTTTCTGTATGCAATATGTTTCTACTCTTCATTGTAATATTTGATAATAGGTTTATCTCCACTCCCAGCCTGAACTCTAAGCAGCTTAGAATAGAAATCTTTATCCTAATGTAAGAACAGTCATATTATACATACTCTATCCAGCAGTCATCCTTCACCTGGTGCCCTAAAGTGCTGTGCAATCAGAATGAGGACTGTAGCCCAACTGAACAGAAAAGCACCAAATTGGGAAAGGCTGCAATATAGCTCGTTTGCAATAAGCCAAATTCCAAGCTGCAGAAAGAGTAATGAACCGATAAACTCCCTCATTAACTCCTGAAAACAACACTCCTGTCAGTGATTTCCTGTAACATTATTGCTTTATTGGCTAGCAAAATAGTCAAACAGGCCAGTAGGTCAACTGCCAGTGTATGATATGGGTGAGAGTTCTATGCAATATGCTTTTTTTCTCCTATGTTTCCATGTAAACTATGGCCTGATGTTAAATCCAAATTGAATATGTTATATTCTGCTCTTATCTCTGAAATGGGCAAACTATTCTGAGCATAATGGCCAAGCAGTCTACAAGTAGTTCTTGTTTAGCAACCACAGTTGGAATTGGGAGCTCTGTCGTAAAACAAAGCAGTCGATAAGTGGGAAATCATATGACTTCAACTATGCTTTCCATGCCCTTCACTCCTGTACCCTTTGGAAATCTCACATGGATGCTGGGATAATTAGAAAAAGGGAATTAATGTTTCTACAGGTAACTCCTCAAATAATAGCCATTTATTCTGCAACTATTTTAAAAAAAGGGCTTATGATTGGTCCCCAAAGTTATGACTACTGCAGCACCCATGGTCACCTCATCAAAATTAGGGTGCCTGCCACTCATTTAGGAATGCAGAATCACTTCAATTCCTGCCACTGCCTATCTCCCCTCTCTGCTATCTAAGCACTTTGGGTTCCTTGTGCTTTAGGGCCCCTGCCACCCCAGCTAACCTTCGCCATCTTCTTGCTCATGCTGCTAAGCATGTCCAGTCTGGTCCTTTCTGAGGCAAATGCAGGTCATGCCAGGCCTTCCAGAGGCCATGTGCAGCCTTGTCCAAATCATTTGCAACCTTTTCACAAGGCTTTGTTCTAGTATATATAGTAACAAAGTTCCAAATTTTCTTTCAAGCTCTTTACCCATCAAACCTTAAAGGAATTTATTAATAAATTGAATGAAATGAATGAATGAATGAATGTTTCTTGCAAGGCCCTGAAGCTTTCCACAGAGGCTGCACCTGATTTGGACAAGACCATAAGCAATTTGAAGAATGGCATAAACGGCCTTGGGAATGAGGCTTGACATGGCCAGCAGCTGCATTGCAAAATGCAGACCTTAGCCACAGTGGCAGGATGAAGAAGATGGTGACAGTTAGCTGGTATGGCAGAGAGCAGGCTGGCAGGGGTCTCGGGGTGCAAGGCAGTATGTGCAGCTGGGCCAGGGTAGCTGGGCTGGGGCTTCCTGGGGCAGTTGGAGCTTCCTGGGGTGAGGGAGGCTGCTTTGCTCCATGCTATTGGATCTTCCATGACATTTGGCAGTCATAGAGTATTTTACTGCACTACTGGGCTAGATTGGGCTAGCTGAAGCTTCGAGGGGCAGCTGCTGCTTTTGGCTAGCTACTGCTTAGGGAATTTTTACAGGCCTAGAATCATAGAACACCAAAAAGTCCTTGAGCTGCAATGTATTCTCTCCTTGGCCTCCCCTTGCTTACATCGCACTGCAGCACTGCAACTCATGCCAGACCTGTTTCGGACCTCCCAAGCCCTTCCCCATACTCCTGCATACCTCCCACCCTCTGTACTCCTCACTTGGCACTCCCTCTGCTTCCCACTTAACCATCTGTGTGTCTGGACTTATGAAGGCAACCAGGGCTTTTGGGATTGCCATTGCTAGATGAAATGGTCACACATGTCTCATTTTACAACTGCATTGCTTAGCGATGGAAATTCCAGTCCCAATTATGGTCACAGGTCAAGGACTACCTGCAGTCACATTCATTGGAAAGAATGTGTGTGTGTGTACATGTGTTTCAGTGAAACTTGGAAGATATTAACTGCACAGTTTAATCAGTTAAGAGAGCATATTTATATTAACTCTCATATTTTGCAAACTGAGCAGTACTACAGCAGCAGGAATCAGCCCAAACTGAGGCCAAGGCTCAAAGCCTCCCTAAACAAATAAGCAGAACAGATTTCTTTTTGCTCAACCCAACATTACTGCTTTCAGGAAAAACAGCACTTTTCCACATAGCTTGCAATCCGTTGTTAATTGTCACATTACAGCAGTGGGTGGAGCATTCAACAGCAAGAGTATCTTTCAGCTGTCTACATCCAAGTCCCTCATTGCTCCTGCAATTATGTAAACAAGACGGTGGCTGAATATAGTTGCAGAAAGAAAGAGGTGCTGGAAAAGAAAATTGATAAAATACCTGCTGAGTTCAAGAACAATTTCTCCCGGATTTATAGTGTATGCAAAAAGGGAAAATAACCTCCAAGATATGCTTAGGGCTCTAATTTTAGAATTAACAAACCTTTACATAACTCAGAAATCAGGTTCCAATCAGTTCAATGGAGCTGAATTAAAAGTCACAGGATTACACTCTAATTTAACAGGGTAACCATGTTGTCCCATGGAGTTCCAAAATATTAAAAACCCTACTGGCCTATCCCAGAGCTTATATTTGTTGCCAGATCCTGACTGATCTTTCCATCTTTTTTTATCCTATCACTATAAGCAGTGGGAGAAAAACAATGTACACCAACCCAAGACATAAATCTGAATGCTTTTGGGGAAGTTTAATAGTATTCTTGTTTGAAAAGCTACTCCATGCAATCTCAAAAATGAGGGGTCCTTGGTGCTCTCTCAGCTTGTTTTNCAACTTCTCCTAAGTATTTACCACAAGAAAATGGTTATCTGTACTTTTCCCCAGGCTTATTATTTTGTTCAGCCAGATATATTAAATTCATTCCCCCTTGAAAAATAGAACACTTTTTCCATTGACTAAAAAAAAAAAAAGCATTAACATTATAACAGCTGTTCCTTTTCACGGCAAGTTTGCTAAGTAAGATAAAAGCATTGCCTAAAATAAACCTTTTATCTCTTGCTTTATTCTTAATTAGAAAAAGAGCAAAACTATGGAACTGTTGTAGAAATTGTGGGTTTGGATTGTTTTATATTAAAATGAAAATATAATAACAAAAAATGAAGCAAAAGATGTTTTGGAAACGTCAGTTTAATCAGCTTAGCTTTTTCATCCTTAAAGGTGGATGGTTCCCCCCACCCCTTTGTAGAAATACTGGCGTGAATGAGCTTTCGGTTCTTCTACAAGTTGAATAAAACACTCATTCTAAATGGGTCTTTTATATTTTCTCACAATAATAAGTAATTTCAGGGATGAAATTACATCTATCATTAATATTGCTTGCTTCCCCCTCTCCCCCCCCAAAAAACCCCGTGCTTGGAGGTGTAACACAAGATTATTTCCTGCTAACATTTGAGTGAGTCTCTCCCCTCCTCACTCCCGCCATTTTCTGTTTGGGTTTTGAGTGCTTATACTCTTTTTTTCTTCTTCTGTTCAACACACATGAATTAGTAGGTTGTATGTTCACACTTTGGCAGGCAAAGCCCGAGTCCTAGGAGATGCTTTCTTGGAGTGAGACAGTCTGTCGCTCCCAAATAGGAGCAATAGGTCATGACTGGAAACAGAAGAGAAAGCGTGGGTAGATAGCTAGATAGATTCCAGATATCTTGAACGCAAGGCAGTCACAAGGGGCTTCGTGGAAAAGACCAGACCACGAGACAGACAGACACCCGAGCCTAAAAAGCACGCTGCTGCAAAATAGAAACACCCCCCCATCCCACGCGTGTGGGCGGGTCGCGTCGCGCGGGGAAGGGAGGGAGGATGCTGTGCCCCTTCGTCCCTGCAGGGGGCGGGGCGGGGCGGCTTTGCCGGCGCCTGGATTTGCGCCGGGAGGAAATGATGTGCCTGCCGCCTGGCTCATTCCAGCTCCTGAAGCCCATTGGCAGAAGAGGGAGCAGCCACTTCCTCCTCTCTCTCTCTCCGTCTCCCTCTCTCTCTCCGTCTCCCTCTCTCTCACTGCAGCTGGATTCCCGGCTGAGTAGCCCCACCTCCTCCTCCCCCCGCCGGAGTCTGTCTTGTCTCGGCTCGCCCGGCTGCTCTCTGGAACTTTGCGCTCGGCTCGCCTTCCCTTTTGCCAACTTTTCCCCCGCCGCCGCTCGACGAGAAGTTCTTCTCCCGCCTTGGCGAAGGGCGCCGCCGCCGCGGGAGAGCGCAGATCCCGCCAGAGGTGGGGAGGCGGCCCGCTGGGGAGATGCGGTCGGGGAGTGATTAGAGCGCGGGGCTCCTTCGTTTGGCCGCCGCCGCCTGCGCTGCAGCAACTTGGAGCGGAGCGGTGGTCGGCGCCGCTGCGGCAAAACCGGCGGAGGAGAAATTCTTGCTGCTGCTGCTGCTGTTTCTGCTCCTCCTTTAACTGCGCCTGAAGCTCCCGCGCCGCCCGCTCGGTTGCTTTTGCCTTTGTCTGCTAGCAGTGCGAGAGGTGAGTGGATCTCCCTGTCTGGGAGAAAGAATCGCCCTCTTGGCCGCCATCTGCCCCTCTCCCCTTCCAATGTTGGGCAGCTTTCTCTCTCCCCTGCGGGTCTTAAACGAGGAGGGGCTTTCACCACCACCCTCTTCGGGACACAACCTGCCTTTCCAAACGGGGAGAGGCGGTCGCTCGCTCGCTATTTTTGTGGTTTAACCTTGCTCTTTAATCCGTCTCCTCTCCGCCCACCTTTCTTGTCTGGATAGAGAATCCCCCCCCCTTTTAATATATATGAATCGGTTTTTTTTAAAATGCACACAGCGATCGGAAAGGGAATCCGTATGGGTTGCTCCAAAATAAAAATAAAAATTAAAAACGAGCTCTCAGACATGGGCGTTTCGGACGTGCCTTTACAGTTCTCCCAGCCAAAAAAAAGCTGGTAAACTAATGCTGCATCTGTATGTCCAGAGGTGTCTTTGGAAAACTTAAGAGATGGAGAGATGGAAGGGGGGGGGGAAGAGAGACATCTTTTAATCGCTTCAGGGAGGCTGCCTTCCCTGAAAGTGGGGGGGGGAGGGGGGGAGACTGTGTAGAGAGGAAAGAGAATCTGTATAAACTTTCCTTGGCTCCCTCTGGCTGGCTGCAGTCTTTAGGAGCATCAAAGGAAGGCAATGCCCACAGGGCAGCTGTGGTTACAGATGTTACTCATTACCCTGCCAAGTCTAAGCCCGCCCCTCTGTGCTGTAACTCTTGTAGGGGAAGAGGGGTTTTGCTTGGGGAAAGTCAGCTCTACAAAATGCAAAGATGATGGGTAGTTTTGATGGGAAAGAAGGAAGGAAGCCTTGTTACACAACACCTGTCTGGCTTGGTTTTGTGGACTTTCCCTGCGCCTATAAAACCCCGGGGAAAGGAAGAAAAGTTTGGGCTGTTGTTTGTTTGCTTGGATTCTCATTTCTCTGTCTGGATATGCAATTGTCATTAACAAAAAAAGAAAGAAAGTTGGAATGTGACTAGCAGACTTGGCTTACCCTCTCGTGAGGCTGACCAATTTTTGAAACAGCAGAGCCTATGAAGGACATTTAATCCGTTCTCTGAAGTTCGTTTTTTTTTTGTTGAAATAGCCCTTTGTTGAAAGCCTTTTTGATTGCTGACTTCGGGCTACAAACACATGCTTTTCAACTTGTTAAAGAAATAACTATGCCAGCATGATGTTTTGGCAGAATCCTTTTCCAGCATTCCTTCATTTAAACAGATCTGAAATACTTTTGATCTCAAGAGAAATAACTGCGCAAGTCTATTCCAGATACTGTCATGGGGTTCTGAAGGCTTCCTAGTAGTGGGATTCACACATCAAGTAGTGCAAAGATGCAGAATGCTTGGGTTTAGTGGATGATAGGTATTCCCGGGGGGGGGGGGGCTCAGTGGCTCAGTAGTTAAAGATGATATTGAGTTTCTCAATTGGAAAGCTGCCAGTCTGGGTTCAAGACCTGAGTGCAGCATATGATGGGGTGAGTTCCTGTTACTTGCCTCAGCTCCTGCCCACCTAGTAGTAGCTTGAAAGCATGCAAATGCGAGCAGATTAATAGGTACCACTTTGGTGGGAAGATAACAAAATTCTGTACACCTCAATGTATAGTCATGCTGGCCACTAGACCACGGAAAAGGCTTCCTGTACAGTGCTGGCTCCTTCAGCTAAGAAATGGTGATGGACACCACTCCCTAGAGTCAGATACAATTGGAGATGGGGAAACCTTTACCTTTATACATCCATCCATTCTGGTTATAACTACTGCTTATAATGTATGATGTGAACAAGGACATTCAGTAAATGAGGGGTCCCCTCCCCTGACCGCTTTTTGGAATTGGCCCGTGCGAGTGGCTGGCTGGAGGATGTGCATGCAGCTCAACTTGTGCAAGCATTGGCCCGGCAGGCCCGCTGTTCATGCAAGTTCAGCTGCATGTGCATGCTGGCCTGCCATTCACACAAGGGCTGCATGCGTGTGCACTGGTGCACTGCTTGCACTCCCAGTTTCCCTCCCTGGGCTGCCATGCAGCAAAGGTTGGGGATCACTGAAGTAAACCATGGTTAAGTGCTCTGAGGTTAATGCACCATTGTTCATAGTAGCTAACAGTTTTGTGTAATGGTTAAGGCAGCAGACTTGAAACTGGTAGATGCATGAGTTCTAGACCTGCCTTCGGCCCAAAGCCAGCTCTCTCCAATAGGAAGGAGGCCATGGCAAGCCCCTTCTGAAATCTTGC